CATCTGTGAAGGAGAAAACAGAGTTAACGTTTCGGGTCCGGTGAGCTGTTCTGAGGGAGGGTCACGGACCCGTAACGTTAACTCTGTTTTCTCCTTCACAGATGCTGCCAGACCTACTGAGCTTTTCCAGCAACTTTGTTTTTGTTCAACAATTCTAAATTGATTGTGCAATTTTTTTTAAAAAGTAGGTTTCCTCTTTCAGCTAAATATGAGAGTCAGTGCATTGTCCATATTTAAAGGGACTACTTACAAAATCACGTTCTGAAAAATCGTATTTTCAAAGCCTATGCCACCATTTGAGCAATGGTTTTCACTATGGAAACTAAGTTTTTGTTCATTGATTTTTCAGATAAAGGGAACTATTACCCCTCCTTCACAGACGGTTGTTAGAGTTTGGAATGCTTTGTCATAGAAGGGAGAGACCATTGCATTATAATTAAGGGCTAGTCAAGTAAATACGTGAAGTTGCAAGACAGACAAGGAGAGAACAGGGTAAGGGGTATTACTTTTAGATTGCTCTCAGAAAGAGCTGGCATAGATGCTATGAGCCAAATGGCTGTGCAATGGTTCTGAATAGGAAATGATATCAAATACAAGGACATGCGCTACTGTACATTTATTACAGTCATAGAGTCATACAGCATGGAAAGAGGACCTTTGGTTCAACTAGTCCATACCGACCATGTTCCCAAACTAAACTAGTCCCACTTGCCTGCATTTGGCCCATATCTCTCCAAATCTTTCCTATGCACGTACTTAGCCAAATGTCTTATAAGCATTGTAACTGCACCTGCATCCACCACTTCCTCTGGCAGTTCATTCCACACATGGACCACTCTGTGTGCAAAAAGGTTGCCCCTCATGTTCTTTTTAAATCTTTCTCCTCTCACCTTAAAAATATGTCCCCTAGTTTTTAACTCCTCCACCTTAGAGAAAAGACCTTTGCTATTCAACTTACCTATAACCCTCATGATTTCATAAACCTCTTTAAGGTCACCCCTCAACCTCCTATGCTCCAGTGACAAAAGGTCCCAGCTTATCCAGCCTATTTTTATAACTCAAATCCTCCATTCCTGGCAACACCCTAGTAAATCTTTTCTAAACTCACTCCAGTTGAATAATATCCTTCCGTTAACAGGCAACCAGAAGTTTACACAGTATTCCAGAAGATGCCTCACCAACGTCCTGTATAACCTCAACATGACGTCTAAACTCCTATACTCAAAAGGTCTAAGCAATGAAGGTAAGCATGCTAAACACCTTCTCAACCATCCTTTGTGACTGTGACGCAAATTTCAAAGAATTATGTACCTGAACCCTTAGGTCTCTCTGTTCTACCACATTATTAAAATCACCTCCAAGAAATTTCTGCACTTTTCATAAAGACACTCAGTTTTGACAAAACTGTTTGATTAATTCAAAAATTCAAAATTTTTATGGTCTTTTGGAGAGGAATTTCTTACAAATACTAATTAATGTATTGGAATGTTAAAACCACATAGGGTGACTTGACTCAGAAGACAGCAACATGTTGACATTAATATTCAAAAGACTACATACTATGGGGTTGATTTTTACTGCCTTTGCCTGGCACTAATAGAGTATTAATGACCTCAAAATAGTAGTGGGAGCCTTGTATCCTGTTATCACTAACAATTCATCTAGTTTTACATTGAAAGGAAATAACACTGCATGGTTTTCAAACGACCCACCTAGTTTGACCACGTTTAATATGGAAATTCATCCCTTTTTTAAAACATTTCTGGTCGGAACTGCTGACCAAATTTCACGGGCAATGGAACCAAAGGAAGTCACGAAAGAAAAATGTCAAAGTGCACTCTACAAAAAGAATCTAGGTTATTGTTGCCTCAGGCCCTCTATCCTTCATGATTGGGCTCACCTTCCAGTCACTCATCAAATTACCCTGCTGGCATGTGCCAATTTAAAACCCATCAAATTTAAACAACACTGCAGCTGGCACCTGTCAATCTTTGCCAATCAATTCTCCTTAAATGAAATTTGGTCCCAATCAATTTGATTTTATAAGATCAGTGGCTATCACTGGGAACTGCTGTTTTTTTGAAATTAAAAGAATTACAAGCAGAGTGGTTTAATAATTTCCATCCATTATAGATTGAACATTGTGGGCAGTATAGCCCCAATGTCCCAGTATAAAGCTCACCAGCAAAACCTCTTCATTATCACTCACTCACAAAAGATACCCCTGGAAGCTAAACATTGTGAAAACTAGCAAGTAATGGCAATGCCTAACCCAAAACTGAATATGTACTCAACTATATCACCCTGGTGCTGCCAGTGTGGAGACTGGAAAGATTACAATAGTACAAAATGTGATAACATCAGTATCAGAAGTAATGTATTAACCACACCATATATCAGACTAAAGATGAAACTGCCTTTGGGTGTTCATTTTTTCTAATCAGGAAACTAAACATTGTTTGTGTTAAAGGGGGGAAAGACTTTTGGCACCCAATGTCAGCAGAGGTCAGTTCCCAGTCATGTGTAGTAAAGTTCAGTTTCACACAGAGTGCTTTATGAGATGAACTTTTCTGGGTCTGTCACAATCCCAATATTGGATGAATTCCATTTGGGACCATGGAAACAGCTGTGGTGTTTGTTCTTTCCATAAGTAATCAATATACCACCTCCAGGAGCCTTGCTTGATTAGGGAGAATGGCTGGAGACCCAGGAACAGGAGGTCCAATCACTGCACAGGATGACCAGTGTGGTATTATTGCTTCTGCTGCTGCTGGCACCTCGAGATATCTGCCACCTCCAGCAGTATGTGGTGCACATTAAGGGGTGTTTTAAGTATTGCTGTCACTGCTCCACCTTTGCCTGCCTGGTATCTAGGGCCCGCCCCATAATCAATGGTAGAGGTTACACCATCTCAGAGCCTATACAGAAGAAGCACTTGTTTTTGTAAACAAGCTGGTTTATTGAATGATAGCAGTCGTACAATTGCATTACTAGTCAGGCATAACTACTAGGCTTCAAAGGATGCATACACAACACATTCGCTCTCCATAGGATCTTGTGTAGGACTCGACTGTCTCCATCCAAAAAGACTGTAAGGCTTGAGACTGGACAGAGCTCAATGTAACGTGAACATGAACTGCTTCAGAACCATTGCCGAATACAACAGCTTGCAGCCCCAGCAGGAGAAGTGGGCACTGCAGAGGCAGAAAGACTATTGTTATACAGCCTCCACAAGGAGGCATTCTTAGATGTCTCTGTAAATTTGAGAATAAACAGGCCTACAAGCCGCAAGGCCATGTGCTATGGACGTGGAATTTCATTTCTGACAGCT